ATCCTATTTTGAACACACCTACTGTGATGTATATTCCCCGTGAGAATAGGTTATGGGCTGAAGACAACTTGAGAAAGTCCTAGCACATTTTATTATTCTGTAGATTATTCTCTACTATTTTTTTGACCACTAAAGTGTCTTCCTTTGTATTTATCTAACAACAAAAAATATTATTTCAATAATAATATCTTTGTTGTCTTAACTGTGCTTGAAAGGAAGAGTGTAGTATAGATAGACAGAAAGTATTAGAGAGAGAAGAAAGGAGGAATGGAGAAAGGGAAGATCCGCCTTTGTCGAGTAGAGGACTGGGAAGAGACAGGAAGACTTAAAAAAAAAAAAAAAAATCCAAGGTTTAAATAGGATTAATTATTATAACTATTCTGCTAAGCCAGGAGATGAGGAAACTGTCAGTGATGTTCAGAAGTCACTTGGGGAGAACTAGGGGAAATGTGTATGTACAGTCCAGAGCTGCTGACATTTAATTAGTCTCTGCACTGAGAAGTCAGAAGTGCAGAACGAGGAGCCTTCAGGATCTATTATTAAGCAGTGGCACCTCAGCAGCCCAAATGCTGAAAATTAGCTCAGGAAGAGACAAAAAGAGCTGATTGATATGGACTTTCTTTAGGCAGTCACTTGCCTTTTCAATAAGGGAAAAGCAAGTCAATGATGTAAACAGGATGAGCACTTCCGCAGTCAGTCTGTGGGCCTAAAAAGAGAATTAACTCTCTGATGCATCTATGTTTTATAAGGAAGAAAGAGGGAAAATGGAAAGTATGACCTAAAGATGACATGTCAAGGTGAGTGTCTTCTGCTTTGTCTTCAAGAGATGTCTAAGAAACATAACTTGGTAGTCATAACTCCAGATTTCAGCACATTTCTGGCTTTCCCAAGGGATTAGCACTACTGTAAATCCAGTCACTACACTACTGTGTTCAAATCTTGTCTAAACCATATGGTGTGGGTGGACTAAGCCACTGTACCACTACCCTTCTTCAACAGGACAGAGAAAAAAACACAACAAAAAGCTCAAGAGTCAAAGTAAGGACAGGGAGATCACTGACCAATTACTGCCATGGCCAAAACAGACTCTGCTGGGTGGAATTAATAGAACTTATTACCAATTAAACAGCGTAGAATGAGAAAGTTCTCATTCTACCACCTTCCTCCAGGGCACAGCCACCTGTGGCATGGGGCTCTCTCTGGCATGGGGCTTTCCAAGGCTGCAGTGGGATAACCTGTGTCTTTACCACAGGCTGAAGGGAAATCTGCTCTGACACCTGGAGCAACTCCTTTCTTCCTCCTTCACTGACATTGGTGCTTGGATAGGTGTTTCTTTCTCATTTTCTCACTCTTCTGTCTCACAGCTGCTGGGCAGTGGTTTTTACCCTTTCTTAAATATGTTATCAAAGTGGTTCTACAGTTGTTGCTGATGGGCTCAGCTTTGGCCAGCAGTGGGTCCACCTTGGAACCAGTTGGAGTTGTTTCTATATAATGTGGTGGAAGGTTCTTGTTTCTCTGGAAAAAAGCCTCCCCTCATCCCATCTCTCTCTGGTACCAAAACCTTGCCACATAAACCAAATAGACCATGCCACTAGACCATCTACTTCATATCATGACACTAGTGAGAACAAAATTTATTTTTGGGAGCTAGGCTGCTTCACAGATTTGTACAATTTATGTCAAACCTATGAAACTGCATAAACTGTGGAGTTAGTAAGTGCCTCAGACACAAGAAACTACTACTTTGTGGGGTTTTACATCTTGACCTCAGGAAAAGAGTGCAATAGAAATGATTTAGAGTTCCTACCCCTTACAAGCTTCTGCTCAAATGTAATATTCTGGAAAGTATTCTGGAAATATTATCTATCTGCAGCTGTCAGAGAAAAAAGCTCTTTTAGGTTTACTCACAATAGCTAAAGCTTGAATAAGAAAGTCTTGGCTATTTGCAGTCTTACAGTAAACTGAAAAGATACTAAACAGAAGACACTTGCCCATGAGATGTATTTTAAGACATTAAGCCTAGAGACTTCTCAGATCAAGAAAAACACAGAAATGTACATGAAAAATAGAAGGATCCAAACTCATATCTGCAGAAATGAAAACAGAACAAAACAAATGAAAAAAACAGGACAGAGCAACATTAACTGTTTCACAGAAGTTTATGACATAAAAAGGAACTAACCAACATCCCTGTAATGTTCCCATGTCCTGCCTCTCAGTGAAGCTTTGTCAGCCTTGGAAGATGAAATACATTAATTGTCCTAGCCCAGATTTAGCCAGTTGCATTGAATCAGAGAAGTTTACAAACAAAAATATAACTGTGGTATATTTTGAATTAAGATATTCAACAGTTAATAATTTGAAAATGCAGTAGGCAAGGTCCAAATAAAAATATGTAAAAAGTGAGCAGAGAGGTCTGCAAGCTTATTTTTTCATCTAATGAAAAGAGTAGGATCCATTCTCATGCCCAGTGGCAGTGACTGCAAAATTTCCCAAATTTGGAAATGTCTATAGTCCAGTTGAAGTTACATTTAACAAACACATTCAAACAATCTGGAATGGAATCTACAAGGTTGCAAAGGGAAGAAAACTTGACCCAGTGAAAAGCATTGTAACACCGTAAGAATTAATATTTCTCCTCTTCCTTCAATCCCTTATGGCTTGATATAAAGTCCCATATAAACCAGCAGTCACATGGCCCTTGTTTGGAATTAGGTTTACTCTCACAATAGGTTCTTTTTAGCTCCGAATTTTTATTTTTTATGTTAAACTAAGAGAAATATCCTTTGCTCATTATCATACATCATGGACAGCATAGGTAAAAAGGCCATCACATTCTATTAAATTAAAATGCTCAGCTCAAGAACAGATGCCATGACTTATGGAGGTTTCTGAAGCTAAGCAAATGCACATCTGACCACGTGGGCCATGCAGCATTTTATTTATGATGGTTTGGTGTGTGGCATTCTGATGACTGCAGGGCAGCAGTGTGCTAAAGCCAGTTCTTGAGAGAGGCCTTTCATTTTGGTATGTCGTAGGTCACCTGCCAAGATAATAATTATTGTATGGGGTCTGACTGGGATGGAGTTATCTCTCCCCATGGTAGCCCTCACAGCCTGTGCTGTGCATCAGTAGCTACAAAGGTGTTGGTGTCACACCAGTGTTTTGGTTACTGCTGGGCAGAGATGGCACAGCATCAGCGTTGTCTCTCCAACATTCCACTCCCCATCAGTAGGATGGGGGTGTGCAGATCTTGGGAGGAGACATAGCTGGGACAGCTGACCCGAATTGAGCAAAGGGATGTTCCATTCCATATGACATCTGCTGAGCAATGAAAGCTAAGAAAAAGGAGGAGAAGGGGGAGCATTCACTATTATGACATTTGTCTTCCAGAGAAACTACTACACTACTGAAGCCCCACTTCCTAGGAAGTGGCTGGACATCACCTGCTGATGGGAAGGAGAGAATAAATCTTTCAGTTTCCTTTGCTTCTGCACGTGGCTCTTGGGTTTGCTTCATTAAACTGACTTTACCCACAAAGTTCCTTGATCCTACCCTGTCCAGTTAAGGAGGGAAGGGATAGAGTGACTTGGTGGGCACCTGACTTCCAATCAAGGTCAACTCACCACAATTATACTGTCACAAAAAAAACCCAAACCAAACCAAACCAAACCAACAAACAAAAAAAACCCCACAAGACAAAACAAAAAAACCCCACAACCAAACAAAAAACCAAGCAAACAAAAAAACACACCTCATTAAAAAAAAACCACAATCAAACCAAAAAAAAAGACGATTAGTCAACAGAGATGAGTAGAAAATAGTGTCCAGCTAAGGAAGAAATTTGGGAAAGCAATAAGGTTTTTCCTAATCACAACAGAACAAGATTTTTCCAGGGAGATTAAAAGCAAAAATGGGAGTGCAGTTAGCTTTTCCATCTCTCTTCTTACAATAGAGATCTGAAAAGTAGGTACCACTCTCAAAAGAAATCTCTTTTGTGTGATGTACAGAGATGTACACAGATTAATCTACAAAATAAATATTTGAATCAGCTATTTAAACGTCTATGATGTGACTGCCTACCAGAGAGACAGAGGTTGAGGTCAGTTTGTTTGCCAAAAGCATACACTGACCCAATGTTTCGGATAGCAGCTTCAGGCCAAACATTCTCTCAGCCCTGGTAGTTCTTCTGCACCAGCCGCTCTAGGCTTGGATGTTTTAAATATTTATAAAAAACAGCTTTGACAAGAAAGCCTGAGGGAAGCTGAGGGCAGCATGTTAATCAGAAACCTTGAATCATGGTTCCCTAACAGGTTAATTATTGCAATATTCTGGGCTGAGTTTCTAGATCTGAGGAAACGTTTCTGACAAAAAAGAAAAAAAGAACAAAACAAAACATACCCACAACAAAACACTCCACGGCAAGTGCTTAAAAAAAAAAAAAGAAAAAAAAAAGGAACAAAGCAAAAAAAAAAACCCCAATTAATCATTATTTTTCAAACAAACAACTTTCTGCTAAAAATTGCACAATGAGCTCTCTCTCAAAGGCACACACTAACTGTGGGACCTGTCATGGGTAAGGCAATGTGTACAACACCCCATCACCAACACACACAATACTCAATACTCAGGACACAAAACCTTTCTGTACAACATCCTTAATAACGACTCAAGTCCTCTGGCTGTCCTACACAAAACCTGAAAGCCAGGACCTCTTCCTGAATATTCAATTTCATCTTCAAGCAGACACTTGATCAGGTGAATCCTGTCTTAAAAGTGCCATTGGCAATGGGGGTATATATCCACACATCTTGAACTTTCTGAACACCAAGGGACTGTATATCCAAGTGCCAGCTAGTTCATGCAGAAATGTTTGAGGGTTTCTTCTTCCAATAAAATCCCTCTACTAGAAATACACAACCATGACAAGTTCTCCACAGGTAATAGGGACACTCGGAGTGATCCAATGGAAGTAAGACATCATTTTTCATCCTCCTTACCTCTGAAGAAGTGGGTTTGCAGTAGCCAGCTCCAAACACTAGATTTTCTAAAGACATACTGGACTGGTCTGGTCCCGCTTCCAGGTTGCCTTTACCAAGCCAAGAACCTTTCCCTGGACGAGCGAAACTATAAGAAGAAAAATTGAGAAGAAAAACTAATTAAAGGAATATTGTTAGAGAAGAGTCGTTGTCCCAGTATTATTTCCTTCCTTAGAAAATATTGCACTTTTGGTGGTGCTGGGTTTTGCTTTTATTAATTTCAAATTGACATTGTAAATTCATGTTTCTCTTAAAAATGATCATTGTCGAGTGTGCTGGACATCACTGGCTCAAGTTTGTTTCCTAAACATTCAGATGAGTGGTTTGAGTGTTATGTCTAACTCATTCCTTTCTCTTCTCTCATACAGATCTTTTTCCAGCATAACATCTCACCAACACAACCTTTCCATCTATCCACACAGATAAATACTCTTATCCAACTTCTCATCAGCTTGCACCTTGATGGATGTAATAACTTTCTCTCTTGCTTTAACCTTTGAGTTGTGCATGACCTCTCTTATCTATAAATATCTTCTATAGCTCATCCCAAACTTATTATTATAGATTGGAAGTTTAGTCCCCACTTCTCACTGTCCCATGACATTAGCTTCCAGCACCAAATGACAAGACTACAGCCCCAAAGCTACATTTGTTTTTGCTGGATGCAGTCCATTCATCTGGGAAATGTTCTCCAATATCCTTGGTGCAACATGAATTCACTGTTATCCAAATTCTTCCTCAAAATCCTGACAGAATGTAAGTTGTTTTGGTGTTTGGGTGTTGTGGACATTACCTCTCAGTGCTGACTATTATGGTCAGTGTTCCCTTCTGGCTGCACGTCTCCTATCTTAGACCATTGAACCCACTGAGAGTGGAATATCTTGACTGGAGTTTACTCAGCCTCAAGCTCACTAGAGTCCTGATGCACAGCCAGGGCTCATGCTCTGGGTTAATCTGAGCAAAAGTACACCCCCCAGTTAATGATGTAGGTTGCCTTTATATTCACTGGAGAGGAATTGGCATTTCCAGGGGATGAGTCACCTCTTTCTGAAGCAGTGATATCAAATAGATCAGGGGACTTGTACCCTCAAAGTACTTATTTCTTATTGTGGACTATAAAGAGAGGCCTCATCAGCAACTGGATTTAAATAAGATAATCCCACAGTTTGTCCCTCGGAGAACATGTGCTGTACATAAACTGTATCAAGATTTCAAGAGGGAAATCAGGCTACTTGGGGTGAATACAAGGAGTCAAATTACTGAGTCCAAACAGTGATGCAAGAAACCACAAGTGTTCTTTAAAAACATGTAGGCAAAGGTGGAACTAAAATAATGAAGTGCAGAGAAAGAAGGAAAACACATTTGCTCTTCATACAAAGTGCAGGGATAATGCCACTTGAGTTTGTGTTACAGCTCCCAAACTGGGATCACCATCCACAGGTACCTGATGCCCATCCAGGCATCCCAAATTACGTCATACCCAGGAGACCTGGTCTTCTTGAAAGAATAAAAACTTCCAGGATGGAGAGCACAAGAAACATCTTAAAACCATAACGTACCAGAACTAAAAGCCACAGGGCAGTTCCATTCATGCTGGGAACACTTTCCAGTCTGAGGTTGTTCCTCTGTGTAGATGTGCATCACATGGCCACTTCAGCTCAGATCAGCCTAATTCATTGATATCTACACCTGATTCAGTTTTTAAGGACAGATTAGAGCACTGACTGCTGTACAGAAGCATACATATAAAAAAAGAATCATAGAATATCCTGAGCTGTAAGCGACCCACAAGGATCACTGAAATCCAACTCCTGGACACCCAAAAATCACACCATGTGCCTGAGAGTTTTGTGCAAATATTTCTTGAATTCTGGAATGATAGTTATGCTAAAGACAAAAGAAAGGTTCAGCAATACTTGTTATACTCAAACAACATGTGAGCTTCTGGTGTGAAACAGAGCGAGGTGTGCAACGCCAGAAAAAGAATCTCAAGGAAAGTTAGGAATTGGACGACTTTCAGAGGGTTAAATGCAAATCCCTGCCTTACCTGTAGCTCAAAAGTGCTGCTTGTTATATATAAATACTGGCAAAAAGACCATCCCGTAAGAGGGATGATGGGGTAGAAAAACGTAGCAAATATCTGTTCTTGCTTATGTATGTTTTATTTATGTGATCGAAGGAATTTCCAGCTGGTTGCTTCTAAGAAGCATGAAATCTTCCCATGTGTTTCCTACACACAACATTTAAGATAAAAATAACAAATAAATAAATAAATAAATAAAACTATTTCAAACAGCCAGGAAATAAACAGTGCTCTGAATAATTTCAGCTGTTATTGAGTGATGTTTTCTGCCCTGGTCTGCTGGCAAGGCTCAAGAAGCAGAAATAAAAAATGATTGCTGTGGTATCAGAGAGAGAAGCTTAAACAAATGTTGCCTGCACATGAAAAGCTCCTCATTTGAATATTAACAAAGCTTTCAAAGGTTTAAAGAAAAGCACTTTTTAATGCCTTTTTTATTTATTTATCTTTTGCTTTTACAGCAGAGAAGGGATTTTAATCTGTTGGTTTTATGGAAATTGATTTCACATAGCACTGTAAAACAAAACCCTTTTTTGGGAAACATGCCAAAATGTCCTCAGTATGCTGAGGGAAGTTTAAGCGGAAGGCTTACAAACTGCCGAGGTCCCCCTAATGCTTTCTGAAGTACATTATGCTTGAAGATAATTTTTATTAGCAATACCAGGTCAATTTGTTATATCTTTTTTTTGTATTTATTTCTTCTAATTATTTCTGCAAACATGTTTATCTGTATGAATCATGAACCTTGTTTACTTACATGTCCATTCAGACTATTTAATAGCATTGATTTAATATCAACATTTAGATCCTTATCCAGTATGCTAACCTTAGCTTTTAATTGGATTTTGGATAAAAAAGGTCAAAAGAGGTAATGGGTGCATGTCCAAGAGGATTAACATGCGTGCAGGACTATTAATATTATCGGTGAAATGTTTTATGGGTTTTTTTTTGAGTTGGCCTTTTGATGACCTTATCAATGAGATCATGGATGGTGAGGCACCGTAACAATTTGTCTTGAGAAACTGGGGACACTCCATCCCTGGAAGTGTTCAAGGTCAGGTTGGATGGGGCTCTGAGTAACCTGGTCTAGTGGAAGATGTCCCTGCCCATGACAGGGGAGTTGGAACGAGATGATCTTTAAGGTACTTTCCAACCCAAATCATTCCATGATTCTATGATTCAACATCTTTATCCTTCAAAGGAGTCTCCCAGTTATTACAGCAGCCATCTATGGACACATGGTACAGTAAACTGCATTGAAAACTGCATTTTTTCCCTTTCTTATAGCCTGCAAGATATCAACAATCAAAATTTAAGAACTTTCTGAGTCAGAGGTTGTACTCAATTATTTCCAACAGTCATGGTTACCTTCTATGAATTTGTGTCCATGCCTTTTTGATTTATACTCTTGGCCTCTGGAACTTACATTCATTTTGGAACGAACTGCACTTGTGGTAAGTTCTGAACTTTCTGCTTCTTTTGAACTCCCTGTTGGGGAATTGGATGTGGCATCTCTTGGTTCTTGTATAGCACAAAATATTAAATAATCATTCCCTGTTTATTTTATCTTTGGACAATTCTCTCACGTATAAATGAGATGGCAGTTCCTTAGCATAACAAATGGATTGGCCTTGATAAATGTTAATTCAGATGTGTTACTGAAGCAAATCAGAAAAAATAATTCAGGGCAGTTTAAAATAACATTGTTCTCTTTGAGATTAAATTTCCCCAAAAAAGAAATAACCTTTTTGAGTTTTTAATTTTGTTTTGTTTTGGTTTTGGTAAACAAAACTTTTTTTTTCCATGAATTTTAGGTTTTAGCAGAATGGGAGGAAAATTAGAAGATTGGGATCTGAATCTTCCTTGGGAAAAAAAAAATATCTTGCTCTATTTGAAAGGATCAAACTGCAAAAAATTAAAAACCCCAAACAAACAAAACCTCACACAATCATCACATTTCTAATTACAAGAAATGACAATCTTGTGACTATATCAGGAGAGGAAGTTCAGGAAATGAACTTTTATCCCATTTAGGCCAGATCCTTGGAGAAACCACTTATTTTTCCCTCAGTCCCTTATGCATAAAATGTTATTTCTTTAAAAAATTAAAAATATAAGTCAGTCCCATAGAAATAGCAGACCTCAGAATTAAACCCTCACAGCCCCCACTGCCAGCTGTTTGCATTTCACCAGGAGCTCCCTTCTAACTCCCACACATCAGGAAAATTGTAATGACAACACTGATTTCCCTCCATTTTTTAACTCAAAACTTTAATATAGCTTTTGGGAAATTACTACTGGCATGTGGCCATAGGGTACATGGGTGATCTGTCACTTATTTTTGAGAATAATCTGTGGATGTTTACAGATTGTGCTCCTCTAGGCATGTATTTCTCTTACCCAAGGAGTTTCACTTAAGAATGGTGTGAAACAAGGCTGCGTTCTTGCTCCTACCCTATTCACAGTCTTTAGCATGATGCTCCAAAGGGCCATGGCAGATCTCAATGATCAGGACGGTATCTACATTCGATATCGTACTGATGGAAGCCTATTCAATCTAAGGCGTCTGAAGGCCCACACTAAGATTTTAAACCATCTTGTCCGGGAGCTGCTTTATGCTGATGATGCCGCCCTTGTCGCCCACACAGAAGTAGTTCTGCAGCGTTTAACATCCTGCTTTGCAGATGTTGCTGAGCTCTTTGGACTGGAAATCAGCTTAAAGAAGACAGAGGTTCTCCATCAACCTACACCTCTGGAAGTCCCCCATCATCCCCACATCACCATTGGCCAATCAGAACTCAAATCAGTCCAGCAGTTTAATTACCTAGGCAGCCTCATCTCCTCAGATGGTAAGATTGACGGAGAGATAGACAACAGGTTAGCAAAGGCATACAGTGCTTTTGGAAAACTTCACAAAAGAGTATGGCGTAATAAACACTTGAAGAAAAGTACCAAGATTAGTGTTTACAGAGCCATAGTGCTGTCTACTCTCTTGTATGGTTCCAAAT